ACCCGAATGAGCAGATAATAGACACCATTAGGAGGGAAGTGCTCGAAGAGTCCGGTTTTGAGATGGCGCCGGTAGATTTAGTTATGATTGAGAGCATCGGCAATATATTTAATTTCATATACTCTGGTCGTGTCATCGGTGGTCAACTAAAGACTGTTGAGGACAGTGAGTCAATTGAGGCCAAGTGGTGGTCTGAGAGTGACATGAGTTCATTGAATCTGCGATACGACGACATTTTGGATGTGATAAGTGTTGTCCGCAATCATAACACATCTCTGGCAGAGATTTCATGTCATATCTCACGATTCATTGCCATTGAGGCCCACAATAGGATGTTATTAAGAGTGGTATTCACTGCCACTAAAGAAAAGTATTTTTTAGATTTCTTATTAATCAAACAATTCATTATTAAAATCTAATTTAATTATAAATTTATAATCTCTGCACGTGTATAGCAACAGTCGATACGTACTGATCAAAAAAGTGCCGTCCCCTCAACTACCTGTATGTGCGATCACTAAGAAAATTAATTTAAAAGAAATTGTCAATGGCTTTCTTGAGGTTGTATTAATTGATACAATGAGAAATGAATTAAAATATGTTTATTGTAGCAAATATTTATCACTGAATACCTGATTGACAAACTCGAGGGTGTGTTGTCAGTTGAACACAACGGAGTTCCCCGAAGTCCACAGGACTCACCCCACGACGGCCTCTGTATCACTGTCTTAGCCATGAGTCGGGTGCCGTATGAAGATATGAACCCAATTACTGGTGATTATGAATGGATGCAAATGAGTCGATCACTGTGCGCACTGCTCACCCGTTGTCTCGACAATCCTATGACAGAGTTAATTCAATGGAGAAGTATTTTTGGATTTAATTATATTTATGCGTAAAAAACAGTTTTAGACTTATTTGAAAATTTATTTAAATACTTAATAATTATGATTTTTAATTTAAAATATTATCTATCAAATATAAACTATTTTTTAAGCAAAGTAAAAATACAACAAAAATTCATATGAATTTAATTTACCTTTATATATTTAAATTGTATATTCAAAATACTTTATATTTGTTTAATAATCATTTATTATCGAAATATCAATTTTTGTGATACTATAATTTTGTTTATAATATCCTTTGGGAAGTGAAATTGGCAGTAAATCTAAACGTAATTAATAAATTGAGTTTAAGGTTAATTGTAAAATCTGACAATTTTATTTTAAATATATGTTAATAATGATCAAGTTCGTATGGTAATTTTATTTTTATCATCAATTGTATTGAAGTAATCCACATCTAAAGAGGTAGTCTTCAGAACATGTTTTGGCAACAATTTTTGGAAAATTATCTACTAATTTCTTTAAATTTAATAGTTATTTTAATTATTTCTGACAATTATGTGTGTTTTATTATGAATCTAGGTTCACAAATACAAATTAACCAGATTCACCCCTTGAAACCAGAATATAACCTATTTTATCGGATATATCATTTAACCATAAGTGTATCGCAAGCTATGCACAGCTTATTTTTACATAGAGATTCTTAAAAATGCCAAACAAAATTTCCGAGTCTATCACTTTAGATGTGGATTACTTCGGTACCACAAATTATAAAAATAAAATAACCACACTATTATGATCATTTTGAGCACATATTTAAAATAAAATCGTTAGATTTCACAATTAAACTTAAATTCAATTTATAAATTACGTTTAGATTTACTGCCAATTTCATTTCCCAAAAGTTAGTATCATTGGAAACCATAGAATTTTATCAAATTTTAAGTCTAATATTTCATTCAGTGTTTTGTTTTATTTATTTTTATAACTATTGTATCTCTTAATGTTTTGTTAATCAAATAAAATGGGAAATAATTGTTTTTCTGAATTAAAACATAACCAGGAATTTGGATCTAATATGAATTCAATAGAGTCTCAAATTGCGGCTATACTTAAGGGCCAGAGTTTACCCCAAGATATACCAGTTATTTGTGACTATGTTTTCAACCGACGGACAAATAAATACGGTATTTATTATATGGTATTTAAAAGTTATATAAATCATGAACTAATCGTCAGTATTGTATTGCATTAAACAATTATAATATTAAATCTTTGTTTCAAAGGAGTGTCCGAAACGGGACCCATTAAACCGATTGTCAAGCAAACCGTTGGTTATATCGGGGGCGCCGTTGTATTCAATGAGGACATGGATGTGCTGTTGATTCAGGAGTCAAAAGCCTCATGTCGTGGCAAATGGTATCTCCCTTTGGGTAAAATTGAAACAAACGAACAGCTCATGGATGGCATAAAGAGCGAAGTACTCGAAGAATCAGGTCTTGAGATCGAACCGACATCTTTGGTTGTCATTGAGACTGAAGGGAGCGCTTGGTATAGGTTTACATACACTGGACGTGTCATCGGTGGTCACCTCAAGACTGTTGAGGACAATGAGTCAATTCAGGCCAAGTGGTGGTCTAAAAGAGAGCTAAAATCAGTGGATTTTCGGTGTAAGGATATCGTGGACCTAATATATTGTGTCCGAAAATATCACAAATCGGTTAATACTTCGCATAACTCAAGACTTCCTGCCATTAGAGCTCACAATGAGATGCTTTTAAGAGTTGTATTGACTGTCAATAGGAAATCAAAGTTTGTTTTCTATTAATTACAATATATTTAATTAGAAATATTTTTACGAAATACTTAAATGAGTGGTTAATTTACAGCAAAAGGTAATGTGTACTAATCTCCTCCCGCCCGACCCCTCATTTGCCTGTCTGTCAGATTAATCCGCAAACTTTGGATTTAAGATGTACTCTGAAAAAATTCCTTAAGGTTTGCTAAACTGACAGATAAATGAACACTTATGTGTCTAATGCCTGACTTTCATAGAGAATACTGGAAAGGGATATCAGTGCCAACTACCAGTCATATGGTGTGCTATCGGTGGAACACAACGGAGTTCCCAAACACTCTCACGACGGCATATGTCTCACTGTATTAGTAGTCAATAGGAAACCATTTGATGACAGTCTTCAGATACCAACTCAATATTCATGGCATGAATTGAGTGCACACATGGAGTCATTGCTTATGAAATGTGTGAATAATCCGGAGACAGAATTAATCCAATGGTGGCCTAAATGATGTGATTGTCATAAAATTATTTATCAGTAAACTTATTATACACTCAATGCTTAAATATTTTTCATTAGTTTTGAGTAAATTCTCTCATAAGTATTGATATATAGTTGTATTGTCTTTGTGATAAAACATTTGTTTAATTTTTAATTTAGAAAATATTTAAATTATAATAAAATTGAATAATTTATAATTGTTATTTTATTTAATTCTCTATTAATAAGATATAAATTATATAATATAATCCATAATATAAAAAATAAGTTATTGAAACAAAACCTTAATTAATCCATAATATTCTTCTATAAAAACTTTTGAATTATTGAACGAGAATTTATGTTTTGATAAATACTTTTTGAAACTCATTTAATTATAGTTCCGTTGGTAACTAACAAATAGTTCATTAATTGTTTTATTCTGTGTTTTGTATTACTTTTTGCAATGATGTCCGAAGTGAGACACATATATTGAAAAATAAGTTTTTATGCAAAAAAATACAGAATCAAGAATTTATATATAATATGAATTCAATAGAGTCTCAAATTGAGACTATTCTTAAGGGACAGGGTTTACCACAAGATATACCAGTTATTTGCGATTCTACTGTCAGTGATCAACAGATTACTAGTAAATCATGTATCAATTACAGTGAGTTTAAAATCATAATTAAATTCAAACCTATTTTAACGAATAGTGACATTACATTGCATTTTTAATATAGTATTCAAATATTTGTGTTTTTGTTGCAAAGGAGTCGTGTCTGAAACGGAACCCCTTATACCGATAGTCAAGCAAACTGTTGGTTATATCGGGGGCGCCGTTATCTTCAATGAGGACATGGATGTGCTGTTGATTCAGGAGTCAAAGGCCTCATGTCGTGGCAAATGGTATCTCCCTTTGGGTCGAATAGAGCCAAACGAACAGCTCGTGGATGGCTCTAAGAGGGAAGTACTCGAAGAATCGGGTCTTGAGATCGAAACGACAGCTTTGGTGGTCATTGAGAGTGAAGGGAGCGCTTGGTATAGGTTTACATACACTGGACGTGTCATCGGTGGTCAACTGAAGACTGTTGAGGACAAGGAGTCAATTGAGGCCAAGTGGTGGTCTGAAAATGAGTTACAATCAGCTAATCTTCGCTTTGAAGATATTTTGGATTTGATACATTGTGTCCGAAATTATCACAAATCGGTTAATACTTCGCATAACTCAAGACTCACTGCCATTAGAGCTCACAATCAGATGCTTTTAAGAGTTGTATTGACTGTCAATAGGAAATCAGAGTTTGTTTTTATTAAATTCTTTATGTCATAAAACAATTTTTGTGAAATACATGAATGAATGTTGTATTTGACAGCAAAAGGCAATTAATACTGTTCTCTGAGCGCCCGACCCCTCATTTGCCAGTCTGTGAAATGGATCCGCAAAACAGTTTGAGAGTAACTCTTAGAAAGTTCCTTAAGGTTTGTTTGACTGATAAATATTTGATAGCACTTATATGTCTGATGTCTGGCTTTCATAGAGAATATTGGGACAGAATTTCAGTGAAGACTATCACTCATTAGGTGTGCTATCGGTTGAACACAACGGAGTTCCCAAACACTCTCACGACGGCTTATGTCTCACTGTATTAGTGGTAAACAGGAAACCATTTGATGATACCGTTCCCATACCATCTCCATACAAATTGCTTGAATTGAGTCTACCCCTGAAGGCACTGGTTATGAATTGTGTAAATAATCATGAGACACAATTGATCCAATGGTGGTCTGACTGATGAGATTACTTGTATCTAACTCTAATGGTTTGGCTATAATTCAGATAAACAGATCGTTTAATTGTGAAATATTTTCAAAATATTTTCTGATTATAATAAAAGTAAATATAATTTTATTCTAATATTGCATTAAATTCACTATTTATTTACTTAAAAGTTTGTTTAAGCTATATACTTAGTTATTCATGTATAATTAAATTTTTATAAGAAATTATTAATAGAAACTATAATTATAACTTATAATTTATAAGATAAGGACACTAACTTAGAATAAGAAATTTGTTTTTCATTACAAATGATTTAACATTAATACCAAATGTTTTGTTAGTTGCGAGACTTTTATAATAAAAGTTTTATTATACGTTCAAATGTTAAACTATTTCACAAAACCCGGAATTTAGTATTGAATACTGTATTCATTGAATAGGTGTGTANAACCCGGAATTTAGTATTGAATACTGTATTCATTGAATAGGTGTGTAATATTTAAAGTAGCTTATCGATATGAAAATAGAAATGAACTGTATATTAATTGTATAGAAATGATTAATTTTTATATTCTTTTCAATTAATGAGAAGCTACTTTAAAAGTACATTTCTCATATACTCTAATGTGTGAATCATTTCCTGTTTTTATTAATATAATTATTCAGTTTGTCTACTAATAACTATGATACTATAGTTACTATAGTAATAAATATTAAAATTGTACTGTCACTTTTAATATTAGTATTTAATAACATGTCTTGTTGTGGTATTTTCGGTGAGAGATAATTATAATAATATAAAAGTATTAATTTTGACTCCATTATGTAATTAAATATATTGACTTATAGATTGCATAACAATGTGTTTCCGGTCATCGCGTAAACCGACTCATAAAAAGCCTTCATTTGAATCCATGGCTATTGAGAAACAAATTGAAACAATACTGACCGGTGGGACAGTTGACACCAAGAATGAGGGGCCGGTAGTCTGCGATTATTCTGTGGAACAACAATTCAAGGATTTAAGTATTATCTCAAAAGCAAAAATTTATTGACCCTTACATA